GCGCTGGCAGGGGTCTCCATATGGCTTCTCCAGCTTCCAGGGCTGCATCAGTGTAAGTCCATGTGGCTTCTCCTCAAGAATGTCTCACAGGAAGTGAGCAGAGACAGTCTCTCCCACCTCCAAGGAGGAAATCAGATTTCCCAGAATTCTCAGGAGAAAGCCATGCCCACACAGAGGCCTCATTGGCTATGATTTGACTGACAGACTAGACTCCACCCCTTCATTCTTAATCCTCTCAAGCCCCAAACTGACACCAGATTATTTAACTACCACAAGCTCATTCACAAAGAGACAAGCACAAGTCAAAACAATACTGTTATCATTTTACTTATCACATTGGCAAACAAAAGTTTTACGAAATTCTGGTTGATCACATCATGTGGACAGCAGCAGCCATTATTACACAGATCTGTTAGTAATGTAAGTTGGAACAACTTTTACTACAAATTCAAGGGCCCCTGATAATATCGTGAGTTAGGTGTTGGGCTGCTAACTACAAGATCAGAAATTCAAACCACCAATTGCTCCACTGGAGAAAGATGAGGCTGCTGGATCCAAGTAGTGAAATGAAACTACTAAGCCTTAATTTTTTAACTTCCACCAAATGACTGGGTGGAAGCATGCAAATAAGGTATACAGAACTCTTAACATGGGGTCCGGTCAATTTTGCCATTCCACTAAGTATACAGTTAGCCATCTCAGAAACAGGAACAAAGAATTCAGCAACCATCAAGAAAAAAGGGCCACAAGTGAAGTGTGTCTTTTGGAAGCTAAAATCCCTTTGCAGAGCAAGAGCAGAGACAGCAGTAGCCTGAGACAGAATAGGGGCTTCTTCACCCAAAGACCTGCCTTCAGTGAGGAGACTGCTAACCACACCGGGGTACCCTTTGAGCATTTAGTAGCACTAAAGAGCTTTTAAACACTTGTCTAAGCATTGCAGATGTCAAAGAGACAACCTGGCTGAGGATGAGGAGCAGACACAGCATGACTGAGATGCAAACAAAAGTGCATCCATAACGTTTATGAACATTTGTTGTAATCTATTAGTTTCTCTAGTAAACCCCATACTAAGAGAATTTTATTGTCTGTGAATTCTGTGTAGCCACTGCAATGGATTATTGAACTCAACAGAGAAGAGTTGATGGCTGGTGTCAGAATAGGGTAAAGAAAGTAGGAAAATGAAGGCATGTCTGACCTCCTCATAGAAATTGCTAGTGATTTTCTGTCTTCCAGGTTATGAAGTGAGAGTTCATCAAACATGGCCTCTATGCCATTTTCACATATTCATAATGATTTACAATCTCTGGAACCCTATAGAGGGTTTATTATATATGTACATATATCTAGCCTAGCAATTCCATTTCTAAAACTGCATTTTAAGCTTTTCTATACATGTGTGACATTAATTATGTAAAACATAAATCAAATGTCACATGGATTTTTATACAAAAAGAATGAAAATACTTAAATGCATGTAAAAATGTAGTTGAACAAATTAAGAGAAATACCTTGAAGCTAGCAAAGAAAAAGGGGGCGGGAGCTCATGTACTGATATGACTGGAGTAAAACGATCTACAAACTACACATTATTGTTGATGAAAGATGCCATCAAGTCATTTCTGACTAATGGTGGCACTTTTCTGCCCTTACCTATACTCAAAACTGTATGAGTCCACAGCTGCAGCCAATGTGTCAATCCATCTCATGGAGTCTTCCTCTGTCAATAACCATCTGCTTGAACCAGGCACTGGCCTCTCCTGATAAAAATGTCCAGAGAACACACACTAAGTTAAAATCTTGCTATCTGCACTTTCTCCAGGACAGATTTGTTTTCCTGGCAGTCTATAGTACTTCCAATACTCTTCCGCAAAACCGTAATTCAAAGACCTCAAGGCTTCTGCAGTCTTCCTTATTCATTGTCTAATTTCCACATGCCTATGAGGCCATTAAAAATAGCATAGCTTGGGTCACGTGCACATTAGTCCTCAAAGTGACATCTTTGCTCTTTAGCACTTTTAAGACATCTTGAGTAGGAGATCTGTTCAATGTCATACATTGTTTGATTTCTTATCTACTACTTCCAAGAGCATTAATTGTAAGCTAAATGAAATGCCAATTTCAAGTCCAATTAACTCCTTGACAATGCCAATCTTTTCTGCATTTATTAGGATGTTATCTATTGGTCCAGTTGTGCCTGCTTTCTGTTTTCTTTACATTCACTTGCAGTCCATAATGCGGGCTGCAGTCTTTGATCTTTATCAGGAATTGCCTCAAGTCCTCTTAGATTTTCAATTTCTGCAAGCAAGATTATGTCATCTGCATACTGCAGGTTATTGTAAAGTCTTCCTCCAATTCTGATGTGGCATTCATCTACATAGTCCAGGTTATTTGGATTTGTTGCTAGCATACTAAAAAAAGTATGGTGAATAAATATAACCCTATCACATTTCCTGATTTTAAACCATGCAGTATCACCTTGTTCTACTCAAAGGACTGCTTCACCAGCACCATTAAGTGTTTCAAAATTCCCATTGTTCTCAAAGCTATCATATGTGCTAGTTAAGGATTATGTCAACTAGACATACCTGGCTAGGGGTGATGTTAAGCCTATCAATCAAGTCACAGTCTGATGATACCTCCTTGACATCATAAGCTTTTTAAGAATGAGGGACTCTGGGAACTG